GAGGGCTGAAACTTAGACAACTTGTTCAAGTGACAATTGGTACTTGAATTTGGAATGATCTAATGCTAAAGCCACTTCAACCACTCTTTACTTCTATCTTACCTATTAACTGCTTCTGCAGTGTCTTGCTCAGGCTCTAAAATAGATTATCCCCGAATTGCTGGCTTAAGGTCACCTTGTGTCCACAGCCACATATGCTCACTCTGCGTTTTCTCTAGGATCTCACGAGTCTCATACATCTTTAATTCTACACAGATTAAAGTAATCAGATCCATCTATGTGCTGAAAGCCTGCAGAATGTGCCCTGCCACTTTGAGCAGACGGTGCCTGAGTAAGGAGTTGCTTCAAAAATGATGAACTGTCTTCTCTGAATCATAGACTGGGGAGAGCAGATCCTGGGAGAGGTCAGGGATTTGGCAGTGATGTGTGGCCATGGGATTTGACCAGAGGAAGCCCTCAGTAGTAACAGGGCATTTTTTTTTTCCTCTTTCTTTTTGTTATTGTTGTTGTTGTAGAACAGGGTGCTTAGTGATGCAAAGGAGAGGTACAAAGTAGAGGGTTCTGGGACCAGCATAGCTTTGGCCACCATATACATCTGGTGATGGGAGGTGCTGTGTAGCTACAAACCTTGCACACAGTGGTGGTAATGATGGGTGGCTCTCTGCCAGGTAGTAAGGACCCATTTTAACTCTTATGTGTAATCAAAAGATTCTGAGTTTGATTCTCTGAGTATAAAACTTCTCAGATGGCTGTCCATCTGCTGTGAGAGGCAGAGAATTGCCACTGAGGTGCTGCAATGGACTCTGTGTTCCTTGGTATATCCCTGTGCCCCATTGCAGCCCCCAAGACAGATGCCAAGTGCATTATGGATGCAGACTCAGAGTCCAGCCCCAGAGAGAAAATTCTTATCCAAAGAGCAGGCAATGAGCTTTACTCACTCATACTAATGAGCAAATGCTTAGAAAAGAATCTGACATTCATGAGAAGTGAAAATGAAGCTGTTTGCACCTCCAAGGGGGACCTCAGATGTGAGCTAGAGAGCTCAGCATGGCCAACTGGCTACACGAGGTCTGCAGAGCTCAGAAGAGCTGCACCAGCCAAGGCATCCCTCACTGATTAATAGACGACATCCTTAGAGGCTCTTCTTCTCCAAAAGTGTTGCTATTTTATGGGAGAAATCAAGGTCGGCCTTAGCAGTACAACAGATCACAACCAGGTGTGGCTGGTAAAGCAGGAAACTTTTACATGGACATTTTTACACCAAGAAGTTCTGACAATAGCTTTGATGCCACTACTTAATAACTATTGACTTCACATAATTTTTTCCTTTGAGAAACAAATTTTTCTGAGCTTTAAATGAGTTATGATGTAAGCTAAAGGAAATATTATACAGACTGTATTGTTTTCAAAACGAAAAGATGTAACCTTTTCTCCTTATAAAGAAATTCAAATAATAGAAAGTCAAGTTTCCTAAAACTTCCTAAAAAAAATGCGAGGTAAAAAAAAAAAAATCACTATTGGTCAGACACGGTGGCTCATGCCTGTAATCCCAGCACTTTGGGAGGCCGAGGCGGGTGGATCACCTGAGGTCAGGAGTTCAAGACCAGCCTGGCCGATGTGGTAAAACCCCATCTCTACTAAAAATATAGAAACTAACCGAGTGTGGTGGTGGGCACCTGTAATCCCAGCTACTCAGGAGGCTGAGGCAGGATAATTGCTTGAACCCAGGAGATGGAGATTGCAGTGAGCCTACACAGTGCCACTGTATTCCAGCCTCGGCGACAGAGTGAGACTCCATCTCAAAAAAAAAAAATTACTATTAACAGTGTGGTGTAAATACATCCTCCCAGCCTTTTCATGCATATATAAGCCTACATTTTAACTCAAATATAATAGCATAATACAGTCCTGTAACCACCTTTTTCACTCCTCAGTATGTCATAGATCTATCTACGTAGATCTCAATACATTTTGATCTAATTTATCTTTTCAAAGTCTTCATTGTGAGTCCACTGTATGGATGTAATTTCAATATAATTTCAGTCTCCTACTGAAGGACTTTTAGGCTATTTTGAAATTTGGTTATTATAAAGAACGTTGACAACTATTTTTGACCATAAGTCTTCCCACACTTGCACAATAATTTCTGAAGGATAAATTCTTGAATGTGGACTTGCTGGGTCAGAGAATAGGTACCTTGATTTTTATAAGTTTTGTCAAAATGCCATGCATGAATTTACCAAGTTGCACTGCTTTCAACAGTTTGATAGAGTGCCCTTTCTCTAAAATTAGTACCCATTCTGGACTTTACCAATCTTTACTAAGCTGATAGGGAAAAGAGACTTAAATTATTTTAATTTGCATTTGTTTAATCAATCATGACTTGGGGGTCTGCTGTCATAAGTTTATTGGCCACACATATTTCTTTTCCTGTGAATTATTTTCTGATAAGGTATTTATCTTTTACTTATTGAATTATTAGACCTTTCTATATATTAAGAATATTAGCACTTCACATATTTTGCATGCAATCTTTTTGTTAACAGCAGAAAAGAGATTTACTCACATAAACTCTGTGGTCTCCCTACTAAAAAATAAAAGCCTCCACAAAATATTTGGTTATTGACACTATTTTAGTTCCCTAGGGATCCATAAGAAAGTGCCACAAACTGGTGGCTTAAAATAATAGAAACAAATTCTTTCACTTCCAGAGGCTAGAAATCCAAAATCAAAGCACTGGCAGGGCATGCGCCCTTGGAGGCTTCTAGGGGTGGATCCTTCCTTGCATCTTCCAGCTGCTAGTAGCCCCAGGTTGTTCCCTGGCTTGTAGATGCATCTCTGCCTCCCTCACATGGCACTCACCTTGGATGTTACTTGGATTGGGGCCACTGTCATAACTTTGCCTTAACTTGTTTATATCTGTTATGACCTTATTTGGAAACTATGTCCAAGTAAGGTTACATTTCAGGCACCAGGGTTGAGACTTCAACATATCTTTCTGGGGGACAAAGTTCAACCCACAATAAACATGCACCCATTATGAAGTATCAGCTATTGCTAACATATTATAAACATGGTAAGGACCGGGACTAGGTCAATCTTGCTCCATATTTGAATCCCCAGTATGTAGCACAGCGTCTGGTAGGTAGTGGCCCCTCAGTGATTTTTTTTTCTTTTGTGACAGGGTCTTGCTCTGTTGCCCAGGCTGGAGTGCAATGGCATAATCATGCCTCACTCCAACCTTGACCCTCTGGGCTCAAGCAGTCCTCCCACTTCAGCCTCTTGAGTACCTGGGACTACAGGCATGTGCCACTACACCTGGCTAATTTTTGTATTTTTTGTAGAGACAGTGTTTTACCATGTTGTTTCCTAGGCTGGTCTAGAACTCCTGGACTCAAGCGATCCGCCCATCATGGCCTCCCAAAGTGCTGGGATTACAGGCATAAGCTACCATGCCTGGCCAAGGTGTGTGTTTTATGTTCCCCAGATACCTGTCCTGAAATGAATCTTTGAGAATATGCAGACAAGCACCCAAACTAGAACCAAATTTATTGACCAGAATTATTGGGTTGGATGAAACAGAAAATAAACCAACAGACCACTTAAAAATACAAGTTTATTTTCTTTATATTGTTAAGTCTAATTATCAATTTATTTCAAAATCATGAAAAGCAGAGCCTAGCATACCAAATGCTAGATCAGATTTGCTCTGGAAACTTACTTTCTAGATAATTTTTTGGACTTACTTAAAAAATAATTAATTTCCATTAATAGAGCACTAACAGCCTCCAACTTATACTACAGAATTCTTATATGTAATCTTTTTTAAAAAATTAATCACCTGAAAAAGATATATTTACTACAGTTAAGTTTTTAAGTCAAGAGTTTTCTCTGGGAATTGATATATTTTATCTATAACGTCTCCACTTCCCCATACTTTCATCAAAGTATCACTGAAGCAGTCAAAGGCAATCCTTTGGGGGTAGGTCTACAACATCTGCTTAGGTTTATTTCAGTGAACATGGTTCCAGTCTAAGGGCAATGGGCCACTGTTCTAGGTCCTAATGTACAGCCATAGAGATGAGGTATTTCGATTTGAACAGAAGCAACATTTTGACCCAGGCACTGTATTTACTCATGCAGACGTGGTAGACCATGTGTGCTAAACTGAACACCAAAGCCATCATTCAGACGCACACAGTGCTGGTCTCATGGACCCATGCAGTCACACAGAGCCTCATGCTCAGAAGGGCACTGTGCTTGGTGTGACAACTGCTGTTACCATCTTGAATTTCTTAATAATTTTTGAATGATGGGCCTGCATTTTCATTTTTCACTGGGTTCTGCAAATTATGTTGCCAGTCCTAGATAAACATAAAAGTTGCTTTGGCCTGATTCATCTGACTTGTGATCTGTGTTTTCATTTGGCATTGAAGATAGAGCTGTGGGTAGTTCCCAGCAGCAGGATGATTCTAGTTCTAGAACATTTTCAAAGGTATAGAAGTTGTTGGTCATGTAATTCACCGGGAACAGTAAAGGAAGGAAGCCTACAAAGATGATTTTTATTTATGTGTAAGATTATAGAGCTGAAATTATCCTCTTTGGAATATGGAAGAATCAAGACCAACTGTGAGATATATATATATATGTGTGTGTGTGTGTGTGTGTGTGTATATTTATATAGGCATAATGAAAGAACTGGTTCATTTGAAGAGGAAATATGTATGCACATGTGCCAATAAGCTAAATATAAATATATTCCTCTCTAATCTTTTTTTTCATCATCAAGAAATTATTTCAGCAATTCAAATAAAAAGAAGAATCTGTACAAGGTCTGAGCTTGGCTATTGTTTATCAGAATAGTGAAAACATCCTCTTCTGAATTAGAAAGTACTCTTCCTGCCTTTCTTCAAAAGAATAGTAGGGAATAGTTGGTCCAGAAGTGCCGCAAAATGTTTATCCTCCATTTATAGACAGGAATAAACATCTCATTATAGGGCATGGTCCTCCGTACAGGCGGGTAGAGTGTGATTTTAAAAGGACAGACAGGTTGCCAAAGAAGAGGAGTTTTTTTCTAGATACCTGTGAGACGGGAAAAAACTCAAAGGGCAAGGAAGAAGAATCATCTAGACCTTCAAAGGCCACGCAGGGCTTCCAGCTCTGGCTGTGAATTAGAATCACCTAAAGAATCTAGAAAAATATTGATGTCTGGGCCTCATCCCACAGTAATTAAATTACAACCTGGGAATGGAACTCAGTCAAGGGTGTTTTTATTTTTTATTTTTTTTGAGACAGGGTCTCGCTTTGTCATCCAGTCTGGAGTGTAGGGTCATGATCATGACTCTCTGCAGTTTCCACCTCTTGGGCTCAGGCAATCCTCCTGCCTCAGACTCCCGAGTACCTGGGACTACAGGCACACACCACTATACCCAGCTTTTTGTTTGTTTGTTTGTTTAAAGAGATGGGGTCTCACTGTGTTGCCCAGGCTGATAAGGGTGTTTTTAAAAAGTGTCCCTGTGGATTTTTCTTTGCAGCCAGGCTTAGGAACCACTGGGCTTTTGCACACATTAAAAAAAAAAGTCCGGACTACCTCAAAGTCAAACAGGTATCTATTTTTAAAATTAAAAAATTAAGTATATATTTATATCTGATTATATTTAAACATAGACACTGTTAACATAGAGTTTTTTTCTATGTAATGTATTAACTACAGGTAATTACAAAATATTTTATAAATAATTTAATGGTCTCTCTAAGGTTAAACAATACCTCCAATAAATAACAAGATATTTAAGAGATGAAAATATTTTTAAAGTAAGATATCTCAATTATTTTTAGGAAATCTGAAGGATGTGTCAAAGTTTAAAAGTCCTTTAAATGGGAAATGGATAAGACAAGTAGTGTTCTTCCTAACTTGGAATAGTTTTAAGATATCAAATATCTTCTTCCATTAAAAAAAGAAGAAACTGTTCAGGTCAAAGTTTAAAATTAAGGTATTTGGAAACTAATTCATATTTTCTAGAATGCCTCCTTTAATAAGACACTTAAAAAAATCACTAAACATCTTTACAAATAAGTACCTAAGATTCTAATAATTCTTGAGAAATAATTCTTTTTCAACTAATTTTTGAGTTCTAGAGTAAAAGTGTTCTTGAAGATTCCACAAGTCTGTAAAGAGTTGTGGGAGCATCGCAATTGATGAAAAAGGGAGGCAGGGAAAAAGGAAGAGAAGAAATGTCAGGCATAAAAGGGGCCCTGTAGTTTCAACCTGCTGCCATGCAGGAGAAAGCTATACTAATCATACTAGATAACTCACTCTTGTGGACAGAGTTGACACAAAAAGCCTCATCTCTCTTTTTTCATATTCATAACCTGGAACAAGACCAGCAGAGGAAGGTCAAGGCACAGCGGTTCGGATTTCCTCTGTTGTGTTTGTGTGTTTTAGTTGTACGTGATAAAACAACTTAATTGCAAAAGACACTGAAAAGACTAACTCGCTTTCCTTGCTTTTAGCACACCACTAACACCTGCAGACACTAAGGAGCTGTTTGGAACCATCATTTAAGGAATGAGACAAAGCTTACAATGATTACATCTTTTTCTTTAAAGAGCTTGAGGAACACAAAGATAACCAAAATTGAGACTAAACCCAGATGAAAATAGATGTCATCAATTATTCCAAAGAATTTCCAGAAGCACTCAATAGTAAGATAGTCAAAATATCAGGGACAATAAGGAAGTCATTAGTCTGTTTAAACCGAGAGTACACTCCAAAGCCACAGACAAATGAGAAAAAACAAACCTGCAAATAATCCTAGCACTGGACATTGCTTAACCAAACAATCAGCAATGCCAACATCTTTTCTCCAGGGAAGAGTTCAGGTAGGAAAAGAGCTATACTTCTGAAATGCCAGCTTTCACAATGTGTATTGCATTTGAAATCCAAGTTCAATGATTGCTCTGCTAATTTAAACCATAGAACACTAACTTGTTTTTGATTCTAGCCTAAAGTATTAGGCTGAATGTTTTTCTCCTTGTTTGATGCCAAGAACAAGATGTAGAAACCAATTAAACTGCACAGTCCATCCTTTGTCTCTGCACACTTCGATCTGATCAAGAAAATACTTTTTAGCATCCTCCTCATTTTTCCCCACTGTGAGGGCATCCCGGATATATTCAATGTCTTCTTTGCTTGTTAACTGGGGCATTCCGGTCATCAGCATCATGGAGAACAGGATGATCAGTAGGTTTGTGTGATGACGAAGGGCTAGATAAGCCTTAACACAGGTGTCCTGGATAAAGGAGAAGAAAGTGCTGTTACTGTTGTTATGGTAACTAACAAGTAGGCTGAAGATTACAGGGATGTAGTGAAATGTACATAGCATTACCTGTCCATGAAGAGAAACCATCACAAACAAGGTAGGTCCCTGCCTCTGATGAGAAACTGTTTTTATAATCTCTTAAATACTTTCGTGTAGTTGTGTATATCCAGGGCGTGCTCAAGGAAAACTAATTGATACAGACAAGTTTCATCTTATTTCTTACTCTACCTTTTAAATTCGGTCTCTTTCCCAAGAGATTGAGGGTAGAAATTTCTGTAATTTCCGAAGAGCAATGAGTCAGCTTTTGAACATCATAGTGGAATCAATAAACTTTATGTAAGTGTAAATAATGTTTGCCAAGAACTGATGAAATCCATAGAACTAATGGAAATGTGTTTGAGATGTAGTTTTCATCTTTATTTTATACTCTGTTCAAGTCTAAGAAAACAGATGAATTAGCTTTTCACTGTCTGATAATCAAAATTGTTACATGAACTTTGAAATTTTAATACAAATTCTGAACACTGAGTGAGAGAGAGGGCTTTAAAAAATGCCATGGCTGATGGTCATCAAAAAGCTTTGGAGCAGGTGATACAGGTGAGTTCAGTCTGCTTATTAAGCAACAGGTACGATTATGCCATTTAAATTGTTCCAAAGCACAGAAAAATGCAAGTCTCAATTTTACAACAGGAGAATAACCCAACCTTAATACCATAACTTGACAAAGATAGTATACTAAAGAAAACTAAAGTTAGTGATTATATATATAAATATTTCAAATAATATTGAGTATAATGTTAAAAGATTAATACACCATAGCCAAATAAGGTTTATTCTAAAGCTGAAGGATTAATTCACCATAAGGTACTATGTTAACATCTATTTTTGATTTAAAAATATATGATATCATATGTCATTAAAATATAACAATGTGAAGAATTATTTGAAATTATAAAAATAATTCTAAATAATGAAATACCAGAAAAAGAAGGATAAAATCAGAAAAGTGGGCCGGGCGCAGTGGCTCACGCCTGTAATCCCAGCACTTTGGGAGGCCAAGGCGGGTGGATCATTTGAGGTCAAGAGTTCAAGACCAGCCTGGCCAACATGGTGAAACCCTGTCTCTACTAAAAATACAAAAAAATTAGCAGGGCGTGGTGGCAAGTGTCTGTAATCTCAGTTACTTGGGAGGCTGAGGCAAGAGAATTGCTTGAACCCAGGAGGTAGAGGTTGCAGTGAGCTGAGATCACACCACTGCACTCCAAACTGGGCAACAGAGCAAGACTCTGTCTCTAAATAAATAAATAAAATAAAATAAAATCAGAAAAGTGAAGGTAAACTTATTATTTACAAATGACCTAATTGTCTTGTAACACTGAAGGAAAAAAATAAAATATTACTGTAACTAGTTTTTAATAAACTAACTTTTTATAAAAATTAATAAATAGAATGCTGTAAATAGGATCCACAAGTTGGAAAGTAAAATGCAAAAACAGATGCTATAATCAATGGTAACAATAGCATGATTCCTAGGACTAACACATAAAACATGTAGAACCTATGTTTTTATAATTTTTATAATTTGTAATTTTTATACTCTTAACAAATTATAAAACTTTAATCTCTGAAGAGCAATGAGTCAGTTTTTGAACATCCCTCAGTGATGAGACTGCTTATAATGATATAAATTATTCTTAATCTATAAACATAAAATTTCAATACAAATTCTTATTGGGTGTTTAAACTCAGATATGGTTTAAAGTTCATCTGAAATAATTAAGGCCTGAGAGAACATTTTGAAAAAGTATAATAATGAAAAGTAGTACTTGCCAAACCAGATATTAAGCCATTTTATAAAACTACATTATTAAAAACAGTGTGAACCAGTATCTATTTTTCTCCCAAAAAGACAAGAAATTTTGTGGAACAGAAGGGAAAGTTCAGAGACATACTTAAATACATAAATATGATATATAATACAGGTGACTTTTCAAATTAGTGGGGAAAAGATCTATTATTTGATAAATGGGACCAGGACAAGTAGCTCATCATTTGGGGGAGAAAATAAAATTCTACTCCATGTGATATACCAAAAATAAATTCCAGATGAATTAAATGTAGAAAGGGAAAATATTTAAATATTCATGGAGTGGGAAAGGACTTTATGAAGATGACTTCCATGGTGGACTTTATGAGGAAAAGATGGTGAGGCTACAGGAACTTAAAACTTTTGAGAGAAAAAAAGCCATACATAATATTAAAAGAGGCTTAATGACAAAAGAAAATGTATTTGCAACATGACAGATCACTCTTTCAACCCCAGCCCCCTAATAGTTCTTAAAAATCAATAAGAAAGAGATAGTTGGCTAGAAATACAGGCCAAAAACAACAAAACTTCACACTGTAAGATATAAAAACGGATAAACCTATGAAAAAATACGCAACTTCATTAATACTCAAAAAAATGTAACTTAAAATGAGATGTAAAATTTACCTACAAACTGGACTTTTTTTTTTTTTAGTCTTTTAAGGACAATATCCAATGTACACATTTTATAAACTGATGGTAGATAGGAATACATATAATGTTACCAGTAGATAATTTGATTAACATGCGTCAAAAGTTTTAAAGTGCTTATAAATGTTATATAAGTTAATTGTGATGGTTGTTACATGACTGATGCATTGGTCAAAAGTCATAGAACCGTACACCTAGAAAGGGTGATTTTACACCTCCAGCAAGCTGCAGTTGACCCAAGGAGAGGAGGCCAGTCTGTCTCCTGTGCGTCCCACACATCCCCCACACTGCTTGACAAAAGACAGGAAACCCCTGGCTTGGGCCAATAGCACAGACTCTCCATCCTGGGCTGATTGCACTGAGCCACTGCTGATCTGCATCTCTCTGGGAGTTCCCAGGTGACAAGCAAATGACCCTTGGCCACAACCACTACCACAGTCCCTTCCTCTGCTGCCTCCAAGTTGGGGAAGGAACATAAACACTGAGATTACCTGAGAGCTGCAGTGGGCATCCGAGGAGTGCCAAGTCATGATCTACAGCCAGCACTCAAGGGGGAGAGAAACCCACACTTTCAGAGCAGTGACAGGGAACATGGCTGCAACTGTGAGGTAACCTGGGGGAGCCAAACAGCCAAGCAAGAGTCTACCAACTGACCAATAAGCCTAAGTGCCACCTGCTGGATCACACCCCAAAGCTTCAACACCAAAAATACCTCACTAACATACCTCCCTCTGAAACCAGGGATAAGAAGTCAGCTTCAAATAAAGACCCTGCACAAAGCCTCGGCCTGGTGAAAACATCCAGAAAATAATTCTATTGCCTGTACTCAATCTACAACTGTGGTTAAAGGAGCACCCACATGCAGAGATGAGAAAGGACCAACAAAAGAACTCTCGTGACTCAAATGGCCAAATTGTCATATGTCCTACAAGCAACCACACCAGTTCTCCAACAAGAGTTCCTAACCAGGCTGAACTGGCTAGAATGACAGACACAGAATTCAGAATATGGACAGGAACAAAGATCATCAAGATTCAGGAGGATGGAAAAACCCAATCCAAGGAAAGTAAGAATCACAATAAAGTGATGCAGGAACTGAAGAATGAAATAGCTGGTATAAAAATTAATCTAATGGGTCTGACAGAGCTGAACAACACAATATAAGAATTTCACAATGCAATCACAGGTATTAATAGCAGAATAAGCCAAGCTGAGAAAAGAATCTCAGAACCTGAAGACTGGTTCTCTGAAATAAGACAGTCAGACAAAAATAACGAAAAGAGAATAAAAAGAAATGAAAAAAAAAAAAACCCCAAATCTCTGAGAAGTATGGGATTATGTAAAAAGTGCAAATCTACAGATCACTGGCATCCCTAAAATGGAGGAGGATAAAGCAAACAACTTGGAAACACATTTCAGGATATCGTCCATGAAAACTTCCCCAAGCTTGCTAAAGAGGCTTACAGTCAAATTTGGGAAATACAGAGAACTTCGAGATTCTACACAAGAAGATCATCCCCAAGATACGTAATCATCAGATTTTCCAAGGTTGAAATGAAGGAAAGAATGTTAAAGGCAGCTAGAGAGAAAGGGTGGGTAACCTACAAGGGAACTCCATCAGGCTAACAGTGGACCTCTCCACTGAAACCCTACAAGCCAGAAGAGATTTGGAACCTATATTCAACATTCTTAAATAAAAAATCTTCAGCCAAGAATTTCATATCCAGCCAAACTAAGCTTCCTAAGTGAAGGAGACATAAGATCCTTTTCAGATAAGCAAATGTTGAGGGAATTCATTCCCACCAGACCTGCCTTACAAGAGACCCTGAAAGGAGCACTAAATATAGAAAGGAAAAACTGCTATCAGCTAATACAAAAACATGCTTAAACACAAAGACCAGTGTCATTATAAAGCACCCACCCAAGCCAACATAATAACCAGCTAAGAGCACAACGGCAGGATCAAATCCATACATATCAATACTGACCTTGAATGTAATGGGCTAAATGCCCCACTTAAAAGACAGAGTGGCAAGTTGGATAAAAAAGCAAGACCCAATAGTAACGCTGTCTTCAAGAGACCCATCTCATGTATAATGACACTCATAGGCTCAAAATAAAGGGATGGAGGAAAATATACCAAGCAAATGGAAAACAGAAAAAAAGCAGGGGTTTCTCCTAATTTCAGACAAAACAGATTTCAAACTAACAAAGATCAAAAAAGACAAAGAATGGCATTACATAATGGTAATAGGTTCAATTCAACAAGAAGACTTAACTATCCTTAATATATATATAAAGTACTCTCTCTCTCTATATATATATAAAATCCAAACAAACACAATTAGAAATGAAGAAGGGTATGTTATTACTGACCCTACAGAAATAAAAACAACCATCAGAAACTACTACAAATATGCACACAAACTAGAAAACCTAGAAGAGATGGATA